GTGTGAGTAGTAGTGGTGGTTTCGGTACCAGTCCAAGTTGAGGTAATAGTGGTAGTTGGAGTAGGGACTTCGATTTCAACAGTTCCAGTTCCACCTGTAGTGTTAGGAATTGTTGTGGTAGAAGTGTAAGACTCTGGCCATGTGGTAGTCTCCGTAGTGTAAGAACCCGGTACTTCCACTACAACAGTAGCGGTTCCACCTGGAGTTCCAGTATAGGTGGTAGTTGAAGTAAATGTATTAGTCCACGTAGTAGTGGTTGTCGTGGTCGGAATAGGAACCAACACCTCAATTGTTTCAGTGTTACCATATCCTGAGCTGAATGGTAATGTGGTAACACCGGTGGTAGTTCCTGTCCAGGTACTAGTGGTGTACACGATTTCATTACCATTTGAAGCTGATTCTCCATTATTGTAGTTACTCCAAGTGAATGGACCACCATAAGCAATTTCATCTGCACTTCCACATTTAACTGTGTTAACTACAGTCACATGAACACTATCCGTACCTGTTGGAGGGATAACTGTAAGGTCGATGTATGGACGGTATCCACTTGGAACATTGGAGTAAGTGACAACGTATTGACCATCAGAACAAGTTCCGGAAATATCAATCAGATCAGCAGTCTCTGGAAAATAGAAATCATTGAAAGAGTTTGAGATAGCAACGTGAGCGGTAGAACAATCGATATTAGCACCGTTAGTGAATATGAAACCGATCGAACCACTCAGGGTTGTGCTTGAACATTGACCACCAATTACAAGTTGTTGTAATCTATTGACAGATGATATAAGACGAGCTCCTACAACTTGTTGATCTGGGTTATCGTTCAATGTAGACCCTGATCCAGCAGTGAATGTAACACTACCAGTAATGTCATGGGTACCATCTGTCCAAGTAATAGAGTTGGAGCCGCCGGTGAAAACAGAAGCAGCTTCAAGGTCGACTGATGAACCACCAAATCCTGCGTTGAAGGTAATTGGGAAGGAAACATAACCTGTTGCCGAAGTCGATGAAGTAACACTAGAACTCAAAGTACACTGAAGTTCAGAGTAATCTGTAGTAACTTCTCCGGAATAATAATTACAGGTAGCAAGACTCACGTCATTAACCGAGAGATCCACAGAGGTATTGGACGTGACAAACTTGAAAACATTTGGAAGATGTAAAGTAAACGTGTCGCCTGCTGAGGCAGAATCTCCCTGAATACTCCAAGTGACCGTTGCTTCCCAAGCTGGAGATTGTGGGGCAGCATTATAAGTGGAAGCTAATGGAGTCCATTCCAAAGATGTGATACTTTGGAAAATCCCGTCTATGGCAGCTGCAGTAGTAGAGTTAGCTAAAAAGAGCCAAGAAAGGAGAAAGTATATTCCTATCATTGTACCTCTTGAATATCAATTTAATGAAAAAAACACCAAAAAAATTCTATTAAAGCAGACAATAGGAGATAGATATTAAAAGCACTGGAATAACGAACAATACTTTTGTATTTAATAAGGATCTGAGGACCATCTTATGGGTTTTCCTAGGGCGCCAGATTTGCAGTTTTATTTTTGATTACTTTTTTTGAAACTGCAATATCTGAAATAATATGAAGTCTATGGCGTTCTTTGGCGCTGTCTTGCTGCAAAATTGCCCAATTATGTGCGGCTTCGTAGATGCATGGTATGCGGCTGCATATCACGAAGGTTTCATAGTAGGTACATTTCCACTAAAGACAAATTAAACTTCTTGGCTTACAATGCAGGGTGATTTACTCAGAACTTAGGTAGATACTTTCCAGGGCACATATTTGTCCAAGACTTTTTTCTTCAGAAAGGGCGGAAGAGCAATACATTACGAAAACACACAATAGCTTCAGGGATTCTTCATCGTATTTTCTTAATATTATAACTAAATTAGATATTCTTAAAGCTAAACTGAAATTTAAAAAAAAATAGCATTTGAATACAAAACTTTATTATCAAGCGGATGTATGTATTGATTTTGAAAGATAGTATATAGTTAGTACTACTTGAAAAATATCCCTATATATTTAACAATATACATGTAGAGCCATAACGAAATAAAACATTTTAAGAAGTAAATCAAAATAGAAATTAACAATTTGAGGATATGCCCAGATCTCTTGAAGAAGGGGGATATGCGGAAAATATGAATAGATATGCTCTGTTAAGTTGGTATAAGAATTTTGATGAGAATGGCAGCCCCTTCTTATCATTCTAGAAATAAAAGCCGAAGAAATTTTCTCGGAAACTTTAGATTAATTAGATCAAGTACATTGGGAGCACTGCCAATAATACCAATGCAGAGTAACTTGATTTGGAACCAGCGTTGACTTGAGAAACTTCTGCTGGAGCAGTTGAAGCAGCTGGAGCAACCGAGCTTGTGTATAAGGTGGTAGCAGCAGTGACTTCTGGGGCAGATTCAGCTTCTGTTGCTACTGGAGTGGATTCAGCTTCTGTAACCGCAGGAGTAGTCTCAGCTTCTGTAACTGCAGGAGTGGCCACAGATTCTGTAATTGCAGGAGTGGCTTCAGCTTCTGTAACTGGTGTGGTTTCAACTACTGAGGTCTCTGTAGTAGTAACTGGAACCAGTGGAGTGATTGCCTCTTCTGCCGTTTCTGGTGTCTTCGTGGTTGTTGCTACCTCTACCGCCACAGGAGTGGTGGTTTCTCCGGTAGCTTCCGTAGTGGTGACAATTGTAGCAGGAGTCTCTGAGCTAGTTGTACTTACTACAACAGCTGGAGTTTCCGTACTAGTAAGTGGGCAGTAAGTAGTGTATTCGGTAACGTAGTCATCAGTAGTGACTGTGACGACAGTAACACCTGTAGTCACAGGAGTCTTTGTACATTTGTGATCGGAACAAGAGGTGATTGTTACAACAGTAGTCTTAATGTCAGTTTCAGTGGAAGTAACTGGAATTGGAGTAGTTGAAGATTCTGTTGAAGTAACAGGGACTGATGTGGTTGAAACAACTGAAGAAGTATTCCAATAACCGCTACTAGAGTACGAAGAACTAGTGGCAGATGATGATGAGGAGGAAGACGTAGATGATGAGGAGGAAGACGTAGATGATGATGGAATCTCCACCACCTCTGAAGAGGATGAAGTCAAACCTGGGACATCAACTTCAACGGTGACAGTTCCACCTGGTGGAGCGGAGTGAGTGGTAGTTGTGGTAACAGTGCCCGTCCAAGTAGAGGTCACAGTAGTGGTTGGAGTAGGAACTTCAATTTCAACAGTTCCAGTTCC